TCAAATTAGTCTGCAGGTAGTTTTAATGCAATGGCATATTTAGTAGCTTAGTAGTTTTATTGTTATACTAATTTTCATATATTTTTTCCTCCATTCTTAGTTACATGTATTCAATGTTTTATTCGTGATTCTGGTGGATTGAACTGTACTTCCGTCTTGCTTTGTACTAAACAATAACATTAGCTTATGTTTAATGTGCTATTTGTGATATTGGTTGTGTGAAGTATTATTTCTGTTCTTGTTTTACAACCATAAAATTACTCTCTGTAGTAGATTTTCGTGTTGAATAAAATTATTATTATTATTATAATGGAGAGAAACAATTATTACATTTATCAGAGACATATATAAACGTATTATGTCAAATGATTAGAAAAATTTCATATCTTGCACCACATAGTCATAGTTCTGAGTAGGTGGTTCACATCCGACTACTGCAGTGATATAAATACTGTTTTATACTCACTACTATTTTAATAAAAAGAGTTCTCGTCAATTGAAACTCGTACACAGACAAAATAACAACCCACACGAGTTAAAGTACTAACACACATACATTACACAAAACCAGTAATCCTTCTCTGGGTTCATTTAATTTATAAATATGGAGAATTAACAACCAATTTCCCAAATATTAATGTGTTGTGTTTCTAAAAGCATTTTTTGAACCTTGTATTCAAATGCGTTAAATGGGTTAAATGGGCAATGAGCAGTATCGTACTTGAAATAACCAACTTACCTCAAAATCGTTATCAAGAAACACTATGAAGAAATGCGGAAAATAAAGAGCATCAAGTGTGAGGTTAATCAATTACGTTGGTCAGAATGATTAGCTAGCTTGTCCAAATTAATTGGGCACAGTTGTCGAATAATATAGGCCCAATCATTAATATTACGCGACAAAAACATCACATATTGTTCAGATTCACATTTATATTTATACAACTGAATTATCTGAAAATTGTGAATAGCAGATACTTACCAACTGAATCATGTTTGGTTTGGTTTGCGAAGACGTCTGTCTCCTGCAAATAACCACCAATGTACAAATAGGTATCATCCCATCTAATTTTAACCCATGTATCCAACCTAGGCTTGGGAAAATCTTCTCCTTGAATGTCTAGGAAAAGAAAAACATTACTGTTATAGAATCTCCTTTGACTACAATATTCATTAAAATACACTGAAAAATACAGTACAAATTTCATTGTGTAAATCAAAATGCCTGTCTAACCGTTTATCGTTTGCTCTATCGAAATGTAGATGGTTGCAATGCCAGTTTACTGTACTGCACGATCGATGGTTGGATGCACTATAAACCAGTTTACTGTACTGCACGATGGTTAGATGCACTGTGATACCAGTTTACTGTACTGCACGATGGTTGGATGCACTGCGATACCAGTGTACTGTACTGCACGATGGTTGGATGCACTGTGATACCAGTTTACTGTACTACACGATTGGTTGGATGCACTGCGATACCAGTGTACTGTACTGCACGATGGTTGGATGCACTGCGATACCAGTTAACTGTACTGCACGATGTTTTAATGCACTTTGATACCAGTTTACTGTACTGCACGATGGTTGGATGCACTGTGATACCAGTTTACTGTACTGCACGATGGTTGGATGCACTGTGATACCAGTTTACTGTACTGCACAATGGTTGGATGCACTGTGGTACCAGTTTACTGTACTGCACAATGGTTGGATGCACTGTGATATCAGTTTACTGTATTGCACGATGGTTGGATGCACTGTGATACCAGTTCACTGTATTGCATGGTGGTTGGATGCACTGTGATACCAGTTTACTGTACTGCACGATATTTTAATGCACTGTAAACCAGTTTACTGTACTGCACAATGGTTGGATGCACTGTGAAACCAGTATACTCTACTGCACAATGGTTGGATGCACTGTAAACCAGTTAACTGTACTGCACGATATTTTAATGCACTGTAAACCAGTTTACTGTACTGCACGATGGTTGGATGCACTGTGAAACCAGTATACTGTACTGCACAATGGTTGGATGCACTGTGATACCAATTTACTGTACTGCACGATGGTTGGATGCACTGTGGTACCAGTTTACTGTATTGTACCCTGGCTGGATGCACTGTGATACCAGTTTACTGTACTGCATGATGTTTGAATGCACTGTAATACCAGTTTACTGTACTGCAAGATGTTTGAATGCAATGTGATACCAGTTTACTGTACTGCACCATGGTTGGATGCACTGTGATACCAGTTTACTGTACTGTACAGTGGCTGGATGGACTGATACCAGTTTACTGTACTGCACAATGCTTGGTACAATGTGATACCAGTTTACTGTATTGTACCCTTGTTGGATGCACTGTGATACCAGTTTACTGTACTGCACAGTGGTTGGATGCACTGTGATATCAGTTTACTGTATTGTACCATGGTTGGATGCACTGTGATACCAGTTTATTGTATTGCACGATGGTTGGATGCACTGTGATACCAGTTTACTGCATTGCACGATGGTTGGATGCACTGTAAACCAGTTTACTCTATTGCACGATGGTTGGATGCACTGTGATACCAGTTTACTGTACTGCACGATGGTTGGATGCACTGTAAACCAGTTTACTGTACTGCACAATGGTTGGATGCACTATAAACCAGTCTAGTCTACT